ATTCATGACAAAAGCATCGACTGAATGGTATATCCTTATTATTATTCCATTGGGTTTCGAGTGGAACATACGGCTTCAGCAACACATCTCCAAGTTGTCATTTTCTCTTCTGTCCTCTGTGATTGGGCCCACGATTGCCCATAATCTCTCATCTCCTCTTTGTACGATCTCCTCTATGTCACCCTCGAACCTATGCCCAATTCGTCATTCCCCAGTCTGGTCCCATTCGAGCAATGGTATGGAATGCGACGTCAACCAATGGCCTCCTCAGCGTGGCCCCAATCCATCTCCATTTCCTCCTACTAATTTGTTAAGCAGTAGGCTGTTGCTTGGTTTGTTGCCAGCCAGAGTTTCTTGTTACAAATTCTTTCTTGTCAGTTAGCATTCAGTATGGAGCCAGCGAAGGCAGTGATTGAAAAAGTCTGCAACCTGTCGGAATTCCTTTTCGTGCCACACTGGCCAATTTTCTGACCCGTATAGAGGGACGGACTGGACACTGGTGTTGAAAATGCGGATCTTATTCCTTGTGTTGAGTGTAGAAGATTTCCAAACTGGTTTCAGGTTGATGAAGGCGTATCCCACTTTTCTGATTCTGACTGATTTTGAAATGTCCATCCGTTCCAACTGCCTGTATTTGAAACCATACTTCCTAGATAAGTGAAGGAAATAACCTCTATTAAATCCCTCCCGTTAATGGTGACTGGTGTTCGTTGTTGTTGTTGTGGTTAGTTGGTCATCTTCATCATCTCTGTCTTCTCTAAGTTCACTTGCATTCCTTTCTTTACTGACTGCCTCTTCAGCCAATTTTTGCTTTTCGCTTGCAAGTCTTTGAGTTTGTATGACATTAAGTATAAATCATCTATGAAATCCAGATCTTCTAGAACCTTATCATCGGTCGTCCAGCGTATTCCTGACTCTTCACTCCCATGCATTGTTTGACGCATAATTCAGTCAGCCCACCACAGTTGAGAATATCTTCGTGTGTGATAATAAACAACCAGCTTGTCTTACTCTTTTATTCACTTCGAAAGCCTATCTGAGCCCTTCGTTGCAGATCACCTGACACGTGGCATCGTCATATAGCTAGCTGGTGAATGCGGTTAATAAGGACACTTTGGCGTGCGGCGCCATCGAAGGCACTTTTTCAAAGTCGACGAAAAGTAATGTCATTAAACAGGATGACTCATCAGTTTAAGGTTTGCTTGTGGAAAAATTAAGTTAGGGTTAAGTGAACCTAATTAGAGAGGCATAAGCGTTAGTTAGGATTAAGAATGCATTAGGGTTAGGTTAGAGATTGAAATGAAGGCCTGAATTCGCTTTTTTTCCACTAAAATCTTCTCTCCTAAATTCATTGGCTCATTCGCCCCTTCTGTACGTCCAAAGTTGAACCTCGGAAGCCTTAGGCAGAATTCTTAACAAGGCAGGAATAAAAACGGCATTCAAACTCACAAACTCAATTAGAAACAAGCTTCGTCGGTTAAAAGATCCTATAGAGCCTTTAAAACAAAACAATTTAGTTTATCTAATACCCTAACTGCAATGATTGTCAGGTCAAATACATAAGTCAAACTAGTAGAACAGAGGCAGTCAGACTAGCTGAACATAAAAACCTAGCAAAATCTAGATTAATTGACCCGAATAAGATAAGAAATCTAGAGAATAGTTCAGCTATAGCATTACATGCAGTCACACACAAACATACAATAGGATGGGTTGGGATAAGATGACAGTTTTAAAATCTAATGTAACAGTATAGTGGAGGGATAGATTGATAACAGAAGCTTTGTTTATCGAATCAACTTCAAATACATGTAATAGGAATGATTCATCAGCTGTCCCCGATATCTGGAAAATTCTACTACCGAAACGACGACAAATAGGAGAGAACAAAGAAAACTATAAAACTCAAGTTTCGAAGTCGTGTGATTATAATTGACGATGTGATTTTGAACAGTAATAAATTGTGTTTGAAACTGTGTCATCCAGTAAATAATACTGTTTCACTGTGTGATACATCCAATAAACAAACTAATATGGAATTATAACTACCACAGGGCCCAAGTTTTACACATATATGCACTTTTCTGATGGTTAAATGTCTGCCGTGAACTTTATAGTCTACGAGCTAGCTAGCCTTGTAACCAGAAGGTCCTGTGCTCGAACCCTGCAGTGTGGGTTCGTACCGCCGAAGATTCCCAAACTAGATTGACGAAACAGCTGTCCAGTACTCCTAGGTTTTCCAGTGGTTTTGTAACTGAGGTCAGCTCATGATGAAATCCTCCAACCAATCAAAAAATAAATAAATTATGTAGTGAAACATGAGACCTCAGTCATCAATGTTTAAGTAGACTTGGTATTATTTATAAGGGGTGAGATTACTGGCCTCATGTCCCACCTTCTCTCCTTTCTAGGCTTAAAACCGATCAGTAAACCGGGCTAGATTTAGAAATGTGTTGTCCAGGAATCGAATCCGGATCTTCCATGGGGATCGCAAGGATTATTCCATTGAGCTTTAGGAAGTTTCTATGTCCTTTTAGAACATTTAATGAAATTTACCATCAGTCAACATCAATGAAACAGTAGAGTGAGGATTCATTTTATCTAAATGTTAAAACGTCAACTGGATTTGTTCTCGTAATCGATTATAAACATTAATTTGCTTCTCTGAGACTAGTTAGTCGATACTAGGAATGCATATCGACTTTCAGGCCAAAACCAACAATACGAAGTCAGTCAGCGAAGACAGGATTCCACGGAGAAGACGGAGATGAGAAGGATAACCAACCAACAACAACAAAAAGAAACAGCACCAATCACCATCAACGGGAGGAATTTGAAAGAGATCACTTCCTTCAATTATCTCACCAGGAAGCATCGTTTCAACTAGAGGTAGAACGGATGAAGATATCAAAGCTGGTCAGAATCAGAAAAGTAAGATACGCTTTCATCACTCAGTTAGTAAATCTGTTGCCCTTCACGTCATGAAGAACAAAATTTGGATTTTCAACACCAGTTTTAAGTCAGTCATTTCTGTATGGATCACAAACTTGGCGCCATCGTCAAGTAAAGTATTTCGAACTTGTTACGGGGCTTTATAAAAATGGTTGCCTTCCCTGGCTTTATAATGAGGATGAATTGGCTGGCCAGAAAGAATAAGCAATAAGAAACTATGGGATCGAATCAAAAAAGAACAGGTCACTCAACAAATATGAGGGAAGAATGGATATGGATTGGACAGACACCAAAGAGACCATTGAATGATATCGTGTGATAGCCAGGTTATTGCCCGACTGCAACCCGAATGGGAAATGACGAGTTCGGCATTGGTTCGAGGGTGACATGGAGGAGATCATGGGAGGAGGAGATAAGAGATTATGAGAAATCTTGGGACCAGCTAAAGAAGTCAGCAGAGAATAGGAGGAAATGGGGATGCGTTGTTGAATCTTTATTTTCCACTCCCAACCCAATAGAACAATAATAATGAGTCCGTGATGAAGAAGGTTCTATGTAGTAAAAGTTTGGTATCTTTTGGAACTCACTGCGAAAAACATATCTGCAACAAGGCAGGCTCGTAAACCATTCAGTCACTGAGACCCGATCGATCCAATGGCCAGCCCGTGAATTCTAACTTCTACCAATTCCTGATGTATTTAGCGTGACCACCAAGCAATGTTGTCGGTGGAACCTCCATCCTCACACTTGACTGGTAAAGACTCACTGGTCACGACTTCTCACTAGAACTCCAGGAACCTCCGTTCAGTAGCAAGTCATTAGTGAGCATCAAATTAATTTTCTATAGTTGTTTGGAACATAGGGCCTCACCAGTATCTCTCCATTTCAGTCTATCCTCTGCTGTCTTAGTCAGCTCTATGTCAGTTAGAGAACCATTGAAAACCATCGCTGCAGTACTGGACAGCTATTGCATCTTAGTTTGCGAATCATTGGCAGTGTGCACCCAGGACCCTCTGGTTACAAGGCAAGCTAGCTCGTATACCATTCAGCCACTGGAACCCGATTCAGTTGTCCAACTCTTGAAAATTAATCTGATGCTCTGTTATCAATCTCTCCATCCAGCCTGTGACATTAGATTTTAAAACTGTCATCTTATCCCATCCTATTGCATGGTTGTGTGTAATTGCATGTAGTGTGTGCTATATCTGAACTACTCTCCAGATTTCATATCTTATTAGAGTCAACCAATCTAGATTTTGCTATCTGTTAGTCTGAATGACCCTGTTCTACTACTTCGACCTGTTCATTTGACCTGACAGTCATTGCTGCAGGGTAGCAGATAAATTATATTGATTTGTTTAATTGGATTCACAGGATGCTTTAACCAAAAACGTTTGTTTCTAAGTCAGTTTTTGGGTTGGAATGCCACTTTTATTCCCATCAAACAAAATTTTTATTTTGAATAGTTGATCTGGGATTGATGTCAGTTAGAGAACCATTGAAAACCAGCACTGGAGTACTGGACAGCTGTTTCATCCTAGTGTTTTTGGGAATCATCGGCAGTACGCACTCACCACCAACGTTCGAACCCAGGACCTCCGGTTACAAGGCAAGGTAGCTCGGATACCATTCAGCCACTGGGAACTGACTCCTCACTGGCCAGCTCGTGAATTCTAACTTCTACCAATTCATGATTTAGTACGACCATCAACCAAATCTAATGCTTACAAACCAACTATAGAAAGTTAATCTAATGCTTGCTAGCGACTTCCCACAGGACGGAGTTTCCCGGAGCAGTTCTAGTGAGAAGTCGTAACCAGTGAGGTGCAAGTAGTCAAGTGTGAGGATGGATTTCCCACCGATGACATTGGTTGGTTGGTGGTCGCGCTAAATGCATCACGAATTAGTAGAAGTTAGAATTCATGGGCTGGCCATTGAGGAGTCAGGTCCCAGTGGTGGCTGAATGGCATACAAGCTCGCTTGCCTCGTAAAAACAAAACTAATCCTTACAAACCAACACAATAACTGAGTTGAATTCATTTTCTTACCATGATTATCGATTTGAGGATTAAACGCACCGCCATTTGTTTTCGTATAATAAGATGACCATGAAGGGAGGAGTGTTTCATTTCTAGAGAAGATTAGCTCATCATTTTCAGTTGATATATGTAATCCATGCAATTCTCTGATATATAATACTACTGATAAAATTATGAGTAGTCTAAATTGTACATTCTCCACAAATATTTGATACATGATCAAAATAATAAGAATTTTAAAACTGTTTTACTTTGAGTAGGTTGAATAAATTCCACATTTTGATGACATCATTAGTCACAAGTAATTATGATGCTGGGTGCATACAAGTATGAATGAAGTTCGGATTACATTGCCTACGTGTGTCATATATATATATATATATATATTTGTATGTAATTGCATGTATGCACAGGCGTACAGTCTGCAAAGTGTCTATCTAGCCTTAAATTCTGCCTATGTGCTGAGGTCGCATACCTAATCAACCACTCCAGTCGTGCTGATAACGGTACACATATAAATTCGTATTGGTTGCCAATTAGAGTTAGACTAATCGACATCGCATTTTGACCAATGGACGATGTTAAGTGATTCGTTTGCAGTGTGCTAGCTAATATAACTTCCTATTTATATTGTAAAATATTTTAAAAATTTCACTATTTGTTTAGGTCAAATAGATTTAATTCAGTTGAATATTTAAACTTATGTTAAATCGTATAAACTATTTATCGATTTTAAAATTTTTAAACATGTCTGTAAGCGCAATATCGCTTGAAATTAAGTCACACATAGATAGAGGCTATTCCGGTCCAGAACAAACAAGAAGCTGGTCACTGTTTCTACGGTACTATTAATAAACAAATCAATAATTATATATATATACAACAAACATTAACGGTTTCAACAGTACAAAGCACAACGCTTAACAGAAAGCAATGTACCGCTATCAGAGCGGAATAACGTTAAAGCCAAAACTGCGAACTAGCCGGAATCAGACACGACTGTTCAGGTAAGCAGCCAGTAGAAGAATGAACCCAAGTAAGAGATAGACAGAGCATAGGCACAAAGATAGAATTTAACTGGCTACTTAACCAGGCAGGCTGATACAGATGAAGATCAATAAATAAGATAAACTCGACAGAATAGTACAAAGTAAGACATGGGTCAACAAAAATAACAGTTCACAAAATACTCTAATTGGGTCATGAGTTCAACTGTCTGACTAAGCGGATCGATGTAAAAAACACACACACATTTCATTAAACAAGCGGGGATAGACACGTTAGGCATGGATAATTGGGCTGCAACAACGCTAGGCTGATCCGGGACAGGTTGACTTGATTCAAGGATGGGAATTGAATTGATCTTACATGGGCCCCCAATGTCCGTTGCCATACATCGTAATATTGTCTCTAATTTGGACTGAGGTGCCAAATACGTTCGGTCTGCCATGCTTGATTATACATCTGGCTGCGACTCTACACTTAGGCCTCTTCTATTAAACAGGGGTTGCTGTGATACAAGCTGGGTGCTGGATTAATAAATGATAGGAAGCAGTACACTGTAGATGATGCTTAGTCTTCCACGGCTTTACTAACTCCAGCCAGTGTTCTTCAAGGTGTTGTTATTTCGCCTTTTGTGTTTTCTTCCCTTTTACATGACTTCTCATCTGAATTAGACTGCCCCCAAAATAAGTAGCTTTTCTGATTGGACACTAGTCAGTAACTAGTGTAATGTGTCAAGTCCTTTTTGTTCGGTGGAGACTGAATTCTATCAGTCGGGCTTACAATGTGGTCACCATGCCACTAGGTGGCTTGACATCACGGTGCACTGGGAACTGTTGGTATTATATGGTTGGAGGCAATCGGCAGGAAGCTTTGCTTGACCTAGGTTTCGTGCTTGTTGCCAATCCCCAGTCAGCAAGGCGTATCTGCAGCCTCGAAGGAAATTATGTCCCTTCTGAGATTCGAACCCGCGTCACCCAGTGCTTCGGTAAGTCAGAGACGTTACCCATTGGACTATTCAGGCTCACGATTGATCTTCGAGGCTGCCGATACGCCTTGCTGATGAGTGCCAACTAGCACGAAACCTAGGTCAGGCTGGGCTTTCTACCGATTGCCCCCCTCCATATAATACAGATAAATAGCTCTACTATTGGAAATCAGTCAGTATTATGATTATTATTATTCCCTTGCGTTCCGTGTGGAACATAGGGCTTCAACAACACATCTCCACTTTGTGCTATTTTCTGCCATCCTCTTCAGCTGGGTCCACAATTGACCAAACTCTCTCATCTCTCCCTCACACCATCTCCTCCGTGTCACCCTCTCATCGACGAACCACTCGTTGCGTGCGATGTCATTCGGCGGCCTCCTCAATGTATGCCTGATCGATCCATCTATACTTTCTCCTACACATCTGTTAGGCGATCGGCTTTCACCTGTTGGTTTGTTGCCAGCCAGAGTTTCTTGCCCATAATTCTTCCTGGCCGGCTGGACATTTGATCTTCAGTATGGAACGAAGGCAGATGTTCACGGAAGTCTATAACCTATTGGAAATCCTTTCCGTGACATGCCGTACAAGTTTCTGACCCATATAGAAAGGCTGACCTGACATTGGTGTTGAAAATGCGAATCTTGTTCCTTATGCTGAGTTAGTACAGAAGATTTCCAAACTGGTTTTGGGTTGATGAAATTGTCAAATTGTCTTTCGCTAAATCCTTCCAAATGCTGGTTTGTTCACTTCATTTTCAGACACAAGTACGATTTACGTGAGTTAGTTTGTTCCCATAATTCGTGTAACATGTATGCCACTGAACTTGAAAATAAGTTGAATGTTAAGTACTTTGGATTATACCTTTCCCTGACGTCCTCCATCATATTAAATTCTAGGAAGATGTTCTGTGGTGAGAGCTGTCTGCAAGTCAATGTTTACGTCTCGAATCAGGGTCATGAGAAAAAAACACCAACAAAGCTTAACCTTGAGGAACTCACCAACCAATCACAGAAGAATTGACGTGTGCAAATATGATCCGCAGATATGTGGCTTAACTTTCTAAGAAACGGACACAAAGATGACAGAATAACCTTCAGCAAGAAAAACCAATCAGAAGAAGTTGCTTCTCTGCTAACCATAACGCTAATAATAATGTACATAGAAATCTATAAATATCTCTTGATTTTTTTCAGTAAACGATCTGTTGTATGACCCTTGTCTTCTGTCATCGTAGCTTCATCTAACCTTCTATTTAAGGAAGTTAAGACAGTCGGATACTACTCAGTCTGTACTTTTATAGTTTGTTAATTCTTGTGTCCTGTCTATTTTCACTTATTCCTTCCCCTTAATTTTTCTTTGGCTACTTAAGAAAGACTTCGTTACATTGCTAAGATCATTAAGTGGTGTCAGCTAACTCATTAAATATTATTGTAGACGTAACGCTGAACTCATGCAAGAACTCCTTGGGAGATTATCCTGCCGGACACCGGGCATCCTTTTTATACATGACTCACCCTCTCCTTGCATCTTATCAGGTAGGATTAGAAGCAACTATAGAAGACTTTATGCTTGGATAACTAAGTATAAAAATGCTATAATACCTTATTTAGCACACCTTTTATGTGATGAGGAAAGTGTACTGAGCATGATACTACTAACTTACTGAGAAACACTAAGTAAATGGCCCTTTTCATTCTTTCTTCTATCAATATATCGTAGTTAATAACACGCATAGTCTTTTTACTTCCCAGTGGAACATAGGACTTCAAGCTAAGGGCTTGAAGTTTCTGTAGCAGTGGTGTTTATTTCTAAACGATGCTAGCCTCATGCCTAACCTTCCTTCTTTACCAGTCTTATAACTAGCTTAGCGAGGTAAAGAGATGAGTCGGTGGGGACTCGAACCCTGGACCACATGCATGGTTGGTGAGCATTCTTTCGTTGTATCACCGACCCACAGTTGTACGACAATGCTGCATGCCAAGTAATCCACAACGGGAAACTCACGGAATCCTTCGAAATGAAGACGGGAGTAAGACAAGCCGGTTGTGTACTATTTCCAATGATTTTCCTGATTACGGTAGACCGGATGATGAGAAAGACAGAGGACAACGAGGAGACAGGCATAAAATGGACGCATGCAAAAAACTTGGAGGGTCTGGACTTCGCCGATGATATATATTTGACTTACAACAAACTGGAAGATATGCAAGTGAAAAGTAACAAGTTGGCAGAAGAAGTATCCAAAGAAGATAGGACTTCAGGTGAACATATAGAAAACAGAGGTGATGAAGATTCCTGGACAGCAGCAACAACCACGATGACAGACAACAATCAGCCAGCATAAATTGGAGAAATCTGAAAGAAGCAACCTCCTTTACCTACCGAACTACCTGGGAAGCATCGTTTCAACTACAGGCGGACGGAACTGATGAGTATATCGAAGGGAAGATCGGAAGAGAAAGGCAATCTCTCACTACTCTCAAGTATGTATTGGGATCAACAATCAGAAATCAGCATGAAAAATAATATCCGGATTCCCAACTCCAATGTGAAGTCAGTCAGTACTACTGTACGGATCAGAGACTTGGCGCCACGTCACGAAGCCCACTTAGAACAAACTATGCACCTTCATCAACAGCTAGCTGTCTTCACTCAATACTCAAGACTACATGGCCGGCCAGAAAAGATCAGCAACACGGATTTCTGGCCATGAACGAATCAACACAAGAGGAACTAATATGCAGAAAGAAATGGAGGTGGCCATACTCTGAGAAAACACGCCAAGCCATTACTCGAGTGGAACCCGAGTGGGAAGTGGAGAGTCGGTCGTCAGTACGAGGGTGACATGGAGGAGTAGATGATGCGAAGAGGAGATGGAAGCATGTGAGCAGACGTGGAGCAATGTGAAAACGTTGGCAGAGAATTGAGTGCAATAGACACGTGAGGCTGAAGCCCTATGTTCCCCAAGGAATTAAAGGAAATAATAATATTATAGCAGTTATTACTACTGAACGATATTATCACTGTCACACTACTGTTAATGATCTCTCACTTAGTATCTAATTTAAAGAGAAAATTAGATGTGATATATTGTATTACATGCTAAAAATTTGATATTGTACTGAAAGTATTGTTTGAAATAAAGCCATTATTACATACCTATGAACTCACTTTTAGGCAGTAGGTCCAGGAGCTTCATGTCATGAGATAAACAGCTTACTATTAAGTTAGTGGATCATAAAATTTACCGTTTGTTAATGTGGGATGAAGTGTAACTCAAAATTATTCAAACGTCTACAAAGGTACACTTAAAAATTAATCCACTGCCCATTAGTGACAAACTTCCGGAAATCTTGGCCATTGTGTACCAAGCTGGTTGTGAGGACAGATATTCGCGAATGGCAGTGATGCGTGTTGTGTGTGTGTGGATGCATTAGAAGCCTTACATAGGATTCTATATCAAGCTGGAATTAGGATGGCATTTAAACCGACCAGCAAAATCCCTCAGATTGCGTGTACTTCTTTGTGTTCCTTTCACGTTGTCGCCCACTCTTCAGGTTCTTATGATTATAAAACATAATATATTTGTTGTCGTTACAATAATGCGAGCCAGTTATGCGGCGGATAAATTTTTTTAACGTAGAATAACAGATTAGTTATGGGGTGTCATAATAAATAGTCGTATTTGCATGACAAACGTCGTACTAGGCTGAAATCGATTACAAAATATTGTAAAACGGGAGACAGGGGTGGTGATTAGTCGTCATAATAGATTTGTAGAGCGTAGGGAAGGAAAATTGACAAGTCACTTCAGGGTTTTGAAAGGTGTCAGGTGAGTGGAGTGGCTTTTACAAAGTGGTATGTACTAAAGAGGAGGAGACAGTAAGACTGCAATGAGAGGTTCATCATGAAATAACGAATGTGTGAAATGAAACAGGTGGAGGCATATATTGAGAAGAGAGATAATATCACTAATAATAATTGCGGATAACATAAATGGAAAATTTGATAGTATTGAGGAATGTTTGCATGAAGGGTATAAATTATGACGAATAATAACAATTGTAATAATAAGCAGAGAAAGAAAAAACCCAAGAGGGTTAGGGGGAGGAAGCACTCTAGGTGAGAAGAAGAATCATCAGTCCAAGTTTGGCCACGGTAGGAACAGCGTCTGGACGTGTTCGTTTCGGATACAAAGTTCCAGTTTAGACGATCTTATTGCAACAGCTTCAGCTATGTGTAGGAGACGTAAGTGAACTAACTGAACATGATAACGACTTCGGAATTCGGTATATAACCCTGAAAGCTGTGTTGACGTCGATGTTATATCCAGTATTATGACTTATCACCATCATTGTCTCCCATTTTACAATATTTTGCAATTGATTTCAACCTAGCATGTTTGTCACATGGTAATCTGTTATTCTACGTAAAAAAATGTATCCGCTGCATAACTAGCCATTATTACTGTAACGACGACAAATATTATATTTTCTAATTGTAAGAACCTGAAGAGGGGCAATTATTGAAAAGAATATTCTTCGTTGACATTGACTTTAGTAAAAATTTAGGATAGAGTTTAAAATTATTGGGATCAGACAGTACTGGATAGATATTTCATCTCACTCCGTAACTTTTCAACAATATACACTTATTACCCCCCAATCAGTCTGAAACTGTCATGTTATGGAGAGAAGACGCTATAATTCAGTCACTGTCCATTAGATTTCAACTTCTAGAGTTTCGTGATATAGAGCTAAGTTTATTCACTGTGTAACGACAGAAGAGAAGGGTCCGGCAACAGATTGTCTATTGAGAAAATCAACAGATATTTATAGATTTTTATGTACATTATTATTAGCGTTATTGTTAGCGGAGAAGCAACGTCTTCTGATTGTTTGTTCTCTTACTTAAGGTTACTCTGTCATCTCTTTGCGACCATTTCTTAGAAAGTTAAGCCATATGTCTTCGAATCGTAGTTGCACACGTTAAGTCTGTTGTGATTGTCTGGTGAGTTCTTCAAGGTTAAGCTTTGTTATTGTTTTTCTTATGATCCCGATTCGGGACTTAAACATTTATGTAAATTGGTGTCTACAGTTTCGGCTTGCAGATAGCTCTCACCACAACTGTCCCCTAACATCTGACTAGGTGAACCAAACAAGTCAGGAATTCTTATTTAGATCCTAAGTTGTATATCATGTATTCAATCACCAACAAGCAGTAAATTCATCTTCTGGTATTGGCTAATAGAAATTCGTGTCAATTTAAACTTTAGGCACCCTGTGGTGAGTGCTACTGATAAGATTTATCAGTAGTATATAAAGAGAATTTCTTAGGTATAAAAACATCAGATAGTAGGTAGACAAATCTGATATCAGAGAAGGCGAATGATACAGAAATTATTGAAAAAGAAATATTCTTCTTTCAGATTGACTTTTAATTCATGCGATATGGAAATATTTCACACTAAATTAGTACTATGTAGAAACATTGAATGATTAGGTTTCCAGGTACCAGGTGATTTATAACTTCACCACTAACAAATATGACAATGAAAGCTAATTATCACCATAGATACAGGCAAAGAGAAAACAGGAGTTGAAAAGGTCTACAATAAACGAAAATACACAGAAGGGAAGAATAAATACATGGAGAAAATTGAGGATTTAATAAATTTAGGCGATTGGAATGAATGAATGCATCTCTATCAATCAGCCAAGCAGTTGACACCTCTTTATGTGATCGTGGACAGCCAGCAGTCAAGGAGCTCATGAGCTGATACCATCTCAATGAAGAAGGCTGTGGCTTGGCATACACAAAACGAAATTAAATAAACTCGTATTCAAGGTTTTGTATTACTCATCACAGCCTTGTCAGTATCATTCTGACAGATGATAAATCAAACAATAATAATAATGATTTACTTTATTCCAAAAACAGAACTTGTGATACAGAATGGAATTTTCAGCATTAATCACAATATTGCATCTAATTTCCTCAAATTATAAATAAAAACTAATCACACAGAAAATTTTCCACATTTACAAAAAGGGTAATGTCAAAAAAATGCAGCATATAAAATGGAAATAATAATAATAATAGCAGCTAAGGTAATGATAATAATACAAGCGGAAATTGCCGTGGGCTTGTTTCACACAGTATTGTGGATGCGGTATACAAATCCTAGCATGTTTAAAAATATTGAATATATAATGTTCTCTTTACATGATATGGTGAGGGGAAGAACAAAGATTACAGCAGTCATAGAGATAAGTTGGTGTTTGCAGTTATGAAAGTAAAAACAAAGAATCAACAGGACCATAAATATAATAGAAATAATAAAAGTAAAACTTGAAGGTATATAAAGATGGATGGAGGAGATTGTTTATTTACTAGATGAAAAAAAGTTAGTCAATTCTTGCCTGACACTATTTTCATCACATAAAATACGCGCCGAGTATGGTATCATAGAATTTTTATACTTAGACGTGCGAGCATACAGTTTTCTGAAGTTACTTCTTGTTCTACCTGAGGAGATGCAAGGTGAAAGCTGAGGGTGCTGTGGTGGATGCTCCAAGTCAGACAAAATTCCTTTAGCAAATTTATTGCACGAAGTCAAGTGCCTATCAATGACGACGTTAATTATGTGGTCCACTGGGACACCACTCATCCTACTGGCAGTCTTCAGCATTCTACGAATTGTGACATAATCCTTTTTAAGCAAACCAGGAAAGAATAAGGGTGAACAGTAAAGAGGAATAGGTAGGATGCAAGAGTTTATGAACTGTAAGAGGAGGGGTTGAGTTATACCTGAGTGCCTTAACTTCTTAATGTAAAATGTCAGGCGAAATATTTTACTGGAGATCGCTGAGACATGGGAAGACCAGGAGAGATCATAAGAGAGAATAAGTCCAAGATACTTAATTTCTGATTTAATTCCTATATCATTGTCGTCAATCTTGCAACTGTCATGAGAATCGACGGCTTCTTTCAACTATCGTACAAGATGATCTCATGTTTTGATCACAAATTTAAATCATTTAGAAAGCAGTTGGAAGCCAGGGAGTAATGGACAATTGTTCTCGTCCTATATTGTGACTCTACGGCAGTACGAACTCATCGCCCTACTGTTGGGCTCAAATCCATGACTTTCAGATTACTAGACTAGCCACTCTGAAAGAAGTCTGTGGCACATAAATTCTAACTTCAATTCATACCATACAGTGCCTTCACTGGCTGATCTCACTGATGAGTGTTTCTCCTCACATATGACCTGCTAAGAAGTCGCGACCAGTGGCGTCAACCACACTGGTTGTAAGAAAAGATACCCACAGATGATATAGCGAGTTGTCAGAAGTTAGAATTTCAAGTGTCATTGGCTCCCATCTCAGTGTCTGAATGCTCATGGGGCACTCCTCAATCCCTGATTGGATCACTGGCATGTATTACCGAAGAGTCCCAACCTAAGACGAAACAGCTATCTAGTACAATTCGACTTTTAATGGTTGTCTAACTGATATCAGTCAATCAATGGATCGATGATCAAATGTCAAACCAATCAAATCTTTAGAAACTATTACTTGAAAAACAAGGATGGAATAAAAAAGGTCAATGCATTTTTTCAAAATTTTTCATTTAATACACTAGTAAACATTTTCACATAAACAATTAACTGTACAGAAAAGTTACAATCAAACGTGTTTCATATGTTTTGTGTGTACGTGTGTGTATGTATGCGTGTATGTAGGTAGATATACAAACGTCTGTGTATACGTATGTCTAAATGTTTGTGTACATGTATGGAGGTGTTTGTGCGGTATTTATGTCTGTAGGTGTGTGCGTATGTTTACATGCGTATTTCAGTATCTTTTTATAGTATGTGTATGTGCATGCGTATGTGTCCTGATATATGTACGTGTGTGTGTGCATTTACGCACTTATTGTGTGTGTCCGTATATCTATATGTCTGTCTGTACGCGTGATACATGTGTGTACGAGCATGTATGTATGCACATAAGTGTCTGTCTGTCTATCTACTGCAGGTTTGTGCGTAGGCGGTTAAACATGTCCGTGTGTGTCTGTATATCAGAAATTTGACCAATCAAAAATAATCTTGGTATGAGTATACAATTTTTTTGCTCTTCAACTTGAAGATGACTTATCTGATGTAAATTTTCTAAAATTTTTTGAATCAATCACTTCATCGTCTGAAGAATAATTTTCTGTACTATGTTCACGAATTACGGGGACGTGTATTTCAAATTTTTTACTTGGCATTTGCAGATGTGATCGACTTGCGCTTGCACTTCCACTAGCACTCCCGCCACTACTACTCAAATGATGCTTCAACACACGATTACGTGTTTTCATAATATCAAAAAACACTTCATCAAAGTGTGCTTGACGTTTTTGTCCACGGATAAATTTAATTTTACGTGGATAATGTAACGATTTACTGACATGGCTTGTCCTCTGTTGTCTTCTACTACTACCAGCACTATCAAATATTTTATTTTTAAATGAATGCGCTCCACCTCCGGTTGGTCCACTTAAATTTGGCGGTGTAGCTGTAGGATGAAGCATTGAAAGATTAGACATTGAACCAAGTGGATTAAATGCTCCAGGTATTGACATTGTTGAAGCATTCCACGAAATAAATTTATACTTTAATGTATCAGGGATATGTTTCAATATACTCTCTGTTTTACTTGGACACATTGATGCATAATGCATTTTCATGGTCACTTTCTCATAGACCTTCAACATTTTTTGATCATGTGTTTCAGGTTCCCGTTGTAGAAACCGTCTCAAGTATCTTTCATCCAATCGAATGAAAAGATCACGCATAGCATTATATCCACGATAACCGATGATACTTTCAATTCCCGCTAAGGTACAATGCAGGATACTATCATTCAATGAGTCGAATTGACTCAGCTTTTTATCGATTTCCATACGAATTTTCAATAATCTCACCAACGGTTTAATTGTCATACCCATAAGACCAGTGGTGAACAGGATAATAAATATTGTCGTCGTGACAATCAACTGTCGATTGTACTCCCCCTGTTGACCCAGTTTATTCGGAGAGATGAGTACAGCCAGAGAGAAGGCAACAGCTCCCCTCAATCCACCATAAATCAATACAATCTGTTGTGTAACACTAATTTTTGTCCCGCTAATTTCAAAAAAGTTGACAAAAAATGTCAGCGTGAAGATGACGATAGCCCGGGCTGCTAGACACCATATTAAAGCCCATAGGATGTAACCAGTATGCCAAATAAGTTTGGTGGAGACCACCTCAATTCCGAAAAATAAAAAGATCACTGATTCACAGATATCAGAGACAATTCTAGTCAAGTTGCGAACAACCGTAACAGCACTTCTGTCCAAATTATGAAATGCATATGCGGCTTGAATAAGTCCACAGCCGATCATTGAAATTATCCCCGACCATCCGATACAATCAGCCATGATGTAAGAGAAATAAGCAAGCAACAACAGGGTGAAGGCATTTAAACGACTTTTTATCCGTGTGATTAAACACGTCACTATACCAAACACAACACCAACCAACAGACCACCAAAACTCACAGTGAAGAAAGACACCACACCAACGATAATCTCCCCACTGGTAATCACCTTCTTCCCTGTGAATGTATCCATAATATCGTAGAGGACAACAGTCACAGCATCATTGAACAAGGATTCCCCGAATACAATATAATATAAGCCTAATTCAACACCGATATCTTGAAATATCGCCAACACAGCCACCGGATCTACAGCAACAATTAAAGAGCTGAACAGTAGGAAGCCTTTTAAATCAAAGTCTAGCTCAGGTGGTCCGAATCCATCCGATATCCATAAGGCATACATCATAAAACCGATAATCAGAAAGTTTAATACGGTTCCAAAGACAGCAAATAATAGGACAACTCCAAGATATTCCCAAAACGTTGGATTGTAGATTGTATACGCAGACTGTAGGACAATCGGCGGCAATAAATATATAAAAAATAGTAGTGGTGTAAACTTCCAAACATTATTTTTCGTATGGATATTTTCTTTTTCAAAGACATTATAGATAATCAGTCCAAATAATATTCCGATAAGAATCAGGGCTAAAGATTCTGGGATATAATCTGAGATATAATGGACACGATGATGTAAGAATTTGATTAGTATCATTATAAGCAGGAATAGCATAACCGTAATGTGTAAACCGAATTCTTCAAATTTCCATTTAACAATTCCAATAATAGTACCATTCACTATCCGATTGTCCACCTCAGAGGAATTCACATGGAGTTGGTTAAAAAATGTCGATGTTGTGAGAATAATAATAATCACAACTGAAAGGATTAGACAGTGATTTTGCATTTAGTCGATAAATTATACGCATATCTTTTTATTTATTTAAAACAAAAATATATAGAAAATATACTCATATACATACATTACATATACATGGAGATGTCTGCGCTGTAAACGATTAAATGTTCAATTAAATTTATATATATGTTGAATATTAAACACAAATGAGACAGTTAGGCGGGAAATTTTTACTCCACACTGTTGTGACAATATATATTTGTTTATTTATTTAATTATTTATGAATAATAACATGGCAGAGAGGTTAATTCAGTGTATTAATTGGTAGAAATGCTAGTGATAATGAGATATTTGTTTAAAGTCTTTATTTATTGATTAAAATCACGTGATTTATTGATTTGAACTGAGGATATTTATTTAGGCTACTCATTATATATATATATATATATCGTCCCCATCCTTAGTTTTGCTTCCATCGAAAGGAGGCACATCGGCTGACTGGCTTCCCGAAGGCTTTCACCAGCCGGCGTCACTTCACTTCCCCGATTCCAGCGAAAAATGAGGTTATTGTTTATATTTTTAGTATTTTTAATGCATTTGTGCTTTGAAGTTTCTGTAGCAATTTGGTTACGTTTTGGGGGTGGAGTTGATAGCGCCACGCCCCAACCCTCCCTCTTTATTGGGGTTTGGGACCGGCTAGAAAACTAGAGAGCTAGTTATCCTAATTGTGGTGGACTGGATTATGCATCAGACAGTGGGAAACGAGAAGACAGGGATATCCTGGACCACCGACGTGAAGAACCTAGAAGACCTGGATTTCGCGTGTGGATGATTTATGTTTGATGTCACACAAAATTGAAGACTTATAGACGGAAACCGACAAACTGGTCGAAGAAGCAGCAAAGACAGGATGCCAGGTGAACATAGACAAGACGGAGGTTGTCAAGGAACTTAGCCCTAAGTTCCTATCGTAATGAAGACTTAGGCGATTGAGCCGATAAATACTATGCACTTTCTTCAACTTTAAATCCAAAACACCAGTATTCCTTGAACGAAATTATATTGTTTGGCAATTAAATTGAAGAAAACTACAAAGTCTACAAACAAATGTTAAGTACAAATGAATTTCTAAAGTACTTTTATTCGTATTTAACTCCAGTCTTCCTTCAACTTGCAAGCGACCGACCATTCGCGCCTTCGAATTGCCCACCAATGGTTGCCAGTTCCAATAAACAAACGTTCAATGTTCACTTCCATTGACAGAGGTTATGAAAATAACCAACCAACAACAACAACAGCAGCAGCAACATCCAACGCCAATCACTATCAACGGGAGGGATTTGAAAGAGGTTACTTCTTTCACTTATCTAGGGAGCATTGTCTCAACTCAACTACAGGAGGAACGGACGAGGATGCCGAATCGAGAATCGGGAAGGCGAGAAACACATTCATCAACCTGAAACCAATCTGGAAATCTTCGTCACTCAACTCAGCATCAACAACAAAATTCGGATTTTCAATAGAAACGTCAAGTCAGTCAGTTCTTCTATACGGACTGATCAGAAACTTGGCGGGTCACAAAGAATATTTCCAACAGCCTGTTGCACACCTTTATCAACAACAACTGCCTTCGCTCTATACTGAAGATCAGATGGCCGGAAAGAACAAGAACCAACAAGAAACTATGGGAAGAAACAAAACAAGAACCAATCGCCCAACAAATATGCAGGAGAAAGTGGAGATGAATTGGACACTCGATGAGCTGAGGAGGCCACTGAGTGACATCGCACGTCAGGCCATTGCTCGAGTGGAACCCGAGAGGGAAGTGGCGAGTGGGACGTCCAAGGGTGACATGGAGGAGATCGTGTGAAGAGGAGTTGAAACGGTATGGATTAACATGGATGCAGATGAAAAGTACAGCAGAAGACAGAAGGAAGTGCAGTTGAAGCCCTATGTTCTACCAGGAACTCAAGGGAACCATAATAATAATAACAATTATATATATATCCAGAGAAGATGGAGGTGATGAAGATAACCAGCCACCACCAAGAGCAACAACAACCAGCACCAATCACCATCAACGGAAGAGATTTATCAGATATTGCTTCCTTCAATTATCTGGAAAGCATTGTTTCAACTACAGGCAGTCGGACAGTATGAATGAAGATGTCAAAACGAGTCAGGATCGGAAAGGCAAGATACGCCTTCATCAACGAACCTAAAACCGGTTTGAAAATCTTGTAGACTCAGACAGTGTAAGGGATAAGATAAGCATTTTCAACACCAATGTGAAGTCAGTTAGTGCTTCTGTACGGGTCAGAAACGTTTACTGCGTGTCAGTCACAAAAACGATTTCCAACAGCCTGTTGCAGACCTTATCAACAGCTGCTCACTTCTCTGGCTGGCTCCATACTGAAGATCAAATGGCTGGCCAGAAAGAATCAGCAACAAGAAACTCTGGGAACAAGCCAACAGGCAAGAGCCGATCGCTTAACAAATATTAGGAAGAAAGTGTCGATGGATCGGGTATACATTGAGAAGATTGTCGAATGAAACCGCACGCAGTGCAGGCCATCACTCTAGTGGAATTCCAATGGGAAGCGATGAGTTGGTAGTCCAAGTGTGACATGAAGGATATCATTTGTTGAGGAGGAGAACTATGGACATCCATAGACCCAGCTGAAGAGGACAGCACCGAACTGAATGAAGTGTAGATAAGTTGTTGAAGCCCTGTATTCCACTAGGAACCCAAGAGAATAATAATACTAATAATAATTCCAAGGGAAGTTTAATGGTGAGTCAAGGTAAATGAATCGTCTTTATATACATACGGCCAGGTTTCATCGTTTGTGAGCGAAATGAGGGAAAAGGATTGTCATTTCATTCGGATAAATGAATCGAACAATAACAAATTTACTAACAGACTTCATAACTTCAACATACACCGGGAATTATTTCGTTATTAGTGCTGCCAGAATGTCTGGAATGGATAGAATATAATGTGCGCGCTTTGATCGATCGGTTTCTTCATTTAGTATGATGTTCTCAGGATTATTTTTGCATGAGCTTTTATCTCTTCCTCATATGACCTTCTCCATGCCATTTTCAGACGCCAAGCTCATCGTTTCGCATTTGAATTCTACTTGAGGAGGTGGCTGGTGATTGATGTCAACTCACAGTCTCCTCAGTTTATATCCGGTCGATTCTAATATTTGTTGAATAGTAGGTTGTTGCTTGGTTCATTTCCAGGGATCCTTGTTGTTTATCATTTCTCACCAGCCATCTGAACTTCAGTATGGAATGAGGGCATCAGCTGGTGTGAGTCTTCAGTAGTTTGTGTGTAATGCCTTCACTGACGCATGCTCAGAGTCTCTAAGGCATATAGAAGCTGTGACTAATTAGACATTAGAGTTGGAAATTCGAATCTCGTGGTTTATGCTGAGTGTATCAGACTTCCCTATTAATTTCTGAGTAATGAAGACCTGTTTTGCCTTTCCTATCCTGGCTGGCTACAGCCGCCACAAAGAACAATGATGTCAAGTCTATTCTTTTATATGGCTTAGTGACTTGGTATCACTGAAACCTTTACACCGTTTAGAGACTTGTAATATCAATAAACGTACTTCAAACAGACTTCAGACGCCTCCTCTCCACACTGAAGGTTATACACCAGAAAGGAGTAGAATTAAGGAATTCTAACTGGCGACGAACCTGTCTGTTCAATGACTGAAATGCACCGTTGGAAAGAAAACAACGAGTTTATTCTAAATCTCGATATAATTATAAAACTTGGGCACTGTGGTAGAGTATAACTCCATAATGGATAAGATTTTATTTTGATAAATCACACAGTGTTATACAGTAATACTAACTGATGACCACCTTTCGAGCACAAACTATTGCTCATAATCATATCAAGGTACTAACTCACACAACTTCTTTCCTTCATTTATATACATGTGTGGAATCGATTAGATATTGGAATAAAGTTCAACATGAGATAATGTACATTCAGAAATAATAGTACGAGTGTTATTAATCCATTACAATTAGATGGGAAATAAGACGAGTGTTTTTATAGTCATAATAAGTTAATTGTTAGAATGTTATGATGTGCTTGAATGGAAATAGAATTTTGAGATGATTTATTATCCTCTTCTGATTTCACTGACCGGCGGTAATAATATCTTCCATATTTCTGGTATTTGAATTGAGTCACTTCTGTTGTATGTGTTGGGTGTAGACTCGATGAATAAGGATTCCGTAATCAACCTCTCTCTCCACCTACCTATATTACTTTTTAGAATTTTAACCCTATCCCACCCTATTGTGTGGTTGTTTGTTAATGCGTGAAGTGCAATAGCTGAGCTTTTTTCTAAATTACTTATCTTCTCGGGGTCAAACATTCTTACCTTGGCTAAATTCTTATGTTCTGATACTCTGACTATCCCTGATCTACTAGTTTGACCTATGTAGTTGACTTCACAGTCATTGCAGGGTATTTTGTTAATTATATTATTTTGTTTAATTGGGTCCAACGGGTCCTTCAACCTACAAAGCTTGTCTCTGAGTGAGTTTGTGGGTTTGAATGCCACCCTAATTCCTGTTTTATTGAGAATCCTACGTAGGGCCTCAGATGTCCCCTCCTTATATGGTATAACAGTAGAAGATTTATATTCTCTCTTATTTATGTCATTACTACTAGTTAGACAATTATTTTTATTTTGTTTTTGGCCTTTACTGATCTTCTTAATGAATTTTATAGGATAGGTAGTTATTTGACACCAACGCTTCTTCTATCTGTCTTATTTCGTCATTCAGGTCCTTTTTTGTGCTACTTAGTGCTATGCCTCGGTTTGTCAGACACCTCACTAAGCCTGCACATCATAACATTCTAACAATTAACTTATTATGACTATAAAAACACTCGTCTTATTTCCCATCTAACTGTAATGGATTAATAACACTCGTACTATTATTTCTGAATGTACATTATCTCATGTTGAACTTTATTCCAATATCTAATCGATTCCACACATGTATATAA